TGGTGAGGAAATTCCTTATTTTATAGAAAACATGGGTGGGATAAGAGGAGAAAAGCTTAATTCCAAACTACAAAGGGCTATTTTTTTAACTTTGTATATAGAAGGATATCCGAGAATCCCTCAAAAATACTTGAAAATGTGTTGATATTTTAACATGGAAATTTAGATACATCTGTATCTTCTCTAGTCAGAGATCTAGCATAGCAAGACAAGTGACCTGTCCAGTGAATTTACTAACACAGGTTATTCAGCTCTTGGAGTTTTGTACACCTGATATTAATGACATAGTAAAAGAATGGAGATTGGAGTGTAGTTCAACTAAACAAGACTATTTCAGAGTCAATTGGAAAAAATGAAAAGCAATCCGTTTATTCTGCATGGTATGTGTGTGTATGTTTGTATGTATATATCCTTACACATTACATACTTGATGAGGAACCATAATTTGTGAAGGTCCTTCAGTCTATTTCTCCACAATTCATAGTGAATATCTTTAAGTAATTATATATATATAATAATTAAAAGCCTTAGAAAAAGCAGGGTGAACTCCTATTGTTAACTCACTGGGTTTAACGTTCCTTTATACAGAATTATGATGCTTTCTGTTTTACGTAACACCAAAACACCCGTGAAATTCTGGTTTCTAAAAAATTATCTCTCACCAACATTTAAAGTAAGTACATTAATCTTTATTATAGAATGGTTCAATGTTTGAATAGTAAATTCTTTATATCATTGTAAGTTCACATAATTTCAGAATGAGTCTTTTTAAATTACTATTTTTAATCAATTTTTAAAACTTCGATATTCACTATTCTTTTATCTAAAGAAAAATTCTATGCTGTTTTTATTTAAAGAAGTGTTTAAAAGGACAGAAAGAGATGGTTTATTTTAAACTAAGCTCAAAATCAGAAAGATTAGTGCTATTTCATAATATGAAATGAATATAATTAAATAATTAAATAAAATTTGGCAATGAAAGATATGCACAGATTGTCAATAAAAAGAATTAGGTTCTGTCATAATTTTACAAAGATAGGCTGGAACAGTAGTATCTGGAGAATATGAACACTGTACCATAGGAAATAGTTTGATAATCCTGAGAATAAAAAGGATCTTTTATCTTTGTGCAGCACGGTGATTGCTGTGCTGATGGTTTGGGTACTACATTTAAAATGAGGCATTTTATCTTGGGAGTTTTCAGATGGTCAACCACTGTTACCCTTTACTCAGCCTCACACTCCTGCCACAAGGTGTACCATATGTCTCCCTATTCTCATGACAGATTCATCAAATTTCATGTAAGTTAGGGTCTCATTCAGTAGCAGTTCAAAGGAGTTTTCTTTTTCTAATCCAAAACCAGTGGTAAAAGCAGAAATAAGACTAGCCAGCCATGTTTTTATTCCTATTGCCAGCACATTGCTAAGTGCTTTACCTACATTATTTAGTTGCTCTTTATAAAGTTCTATTCCCAGAAAACCAAGACTCAGAAATTACATAACCGGCCTATACAGCTGGGAGGTATCCAAGCCCACCCTTAGGTTCAGAGACTAACTAGAAGGACTCACAGAACTAAGATAGCCATTATACTCCCAGTTACAGTTTATTACAGCAAAACAATACAGATTAAAATGAGCAAGGCAAAGAGATGCATGTGCATAGGGCAGGGTTCAGGGGAGACTGGACCAAGAGCTTCCAGCTGGCCTGTCCCAGTGGAGTTGGCAGACAGAGCTTATTTCTCCCAGTAAATGTAACAATATACGTGGAGGGTTGCCAGTTAGGGAAGCTCACTCAGACTTTGGTGTCCAGACTTTTTACTGGGGGTTGGCCACATAGACCCACCTGACTGCCACGTGGCTGACCTTCGCCTACAGCCCCCCAGAGGTTGAGCTGATACCTTGTGGCTCAGAGTCCCAGCTGTTAAGTCGCATTGTTAGCATAGACTATTTGGTGTGGCCCAAGGCAGGACAGGGCAAGGGTAGAGTTACCTCCCAGGAGTGCAGGGCAAAGGGCCCAACCTTTCTTTGAACAAGATTTGTCCTTTAAAGCCCAGGCCTGAGATCAAACAGCTAATTAGGAACATAGCTGAGATCTGATCCCAAGCATCCTGTCCTCAAAGCCCAGGTGCTTAACCCTATGTCACATCCTCTCCCGCCACCTCCACCAAGAGTGCCACCTCGCATGCTCATTTAGCAGAAGACAACCGAAAAAGAACCTATAAATACAAACAAGAAGTCATACTAGTTTGTTACCAAATTTTTGATGTTATCCTACTAGGCAAACACTGCATGCTGGGATTAATTCTACATAAACTGAGCTAGTACAATCTGAAGATTCTCTTAGCAGGCAGTGATACCATTCAGTAGAAATACATGCTGTGCCTGCATAAAGTTCTTGTTCTACCATGTGGCCAAAAGTAATAGCATATCTGAAATAATATTTTTTTTCTTTTGGGAATTTCGTTCCTTTCCCGCAAAATGTTTATCTTTTTGAAATCTTTCAGTGAAGTACAATGTGTACAAATCATAAGTGTGCAGCTTTGATGAATTTTTACAAAGTTAAAACACCTATGTAACCAGCAGTCCTATACAGAAATTACTAGTACCCTAGATCCTTTCCTTCCAGTTTTCAAAACATCTCTCTCTCTTCCTTCAAATCTTTGATGAATTATATACCTACTTAGGGAATAATCCTTTTCTGACTGCACAATCTGAAATTACAGTCCCTTCTGATTTTTCACTCTGCTTTCCTCCCTTTTACTTTTCCCCTAGCACTATGTTCTATAGATGACTTACTCTTTCATTTATTTTCTACCTACCACCTCTAAAATGTAAGCCTTATGAAGGCCATGATTTATATCTGTTTTGTTCACTTCTGTATCCCTAGGCCCTAAAATAGTGCCTAGCACCTAGTGCATGCTCAGTGAAAATATTAATGCATATTTGCTGATTAGAGAGCTTTTCTACTTTCTCCTAATACATACATATATTTTTTAGTTTTGAAATCAAAACAATGATTATCAGCAACCATTCTAGCCATAATTGCAGCATTTCAATTCACAGATAAAACCAGTGCTTACACTAAGGAACGTAATTTAAATCTATACTGTTCTTACAAAAGCAGGAAGAAAATTAAACTAGGTGTATAACCAGCAACAAGCTACAAATGAGAACTGAGAAGGAAAAAGCGAATTCTCTGTTTGCTAACCCATCTCCCTCCCCACCCCCACCTTTACCACTCTCCCTCTCAGTTTGGGGCTCGTGAACCAAACTTAGCCAACAGTGCATTTCATTAACTGCTCTGCTTTAAACAGAATAAGATACTCTAAGTCTGTAAGACTATGCACCAAATACCAAACATCCAGAACCATAATGACTACCCTGTATTTTTAATTCTTGAATTAAATAGGTCATAAATCTCAAACATGAAACTCATGTAGAAAACCTAACTTATCACTTTACAACTCATTTTATGGGTTTTTGCACTCCCTCTTCCTGTTGTGTCTGTCTGAGGAGCCAGCATGTTGACATACACACAAACTGTGTGACGCATCGGTGTTCCAAGATCCAGACGCTTCTCCTTGTATAGTCAGGCTTTCTCAAGTCAAACACTGGTAGTAAAAACTAGGGGAACATTTTTTTTACTTAATAAACTTGCTATTCAAAATGGTGTACCTATTTTTTAATGTCAGTGGATTATATAGTTTCATGTATACTTGTATTTTTATATTTGTCAGCATTTCCATATTCCTCATTAGTAGGTATAAGTTGTAGAAGTAGTTTAGGCATTTTACCAAGTCATTTGTAACAATTTATAGTAAACTCTGCTTTTTAAAATGTTGATTTTTTTCTCTAAAACAAAAACTACTTCCTCTTCCTTGAACATATTCTTTGATTTGTGTGTATGTGTATGTTTTTAGGAAGTCATTCCCCCCATGGCTGAGGAGTATGGATTCCAGTATGAACTAGTGCAGTATAGATGGCCCAGCTGGCTTCATCAGCAGACTGAAAAACAGAGGATCATTTGGGGTTACAAAATTCTTTTCCTCGATGTCCTTTTTCCTCTAGCGGTGGACAAAATCATTTTTGTTGATGCTGACCAGGTAATAAGATTAACTGTTGTTTTTAGTAGTACTTAAACTTTTTCTGCACTTCTGTTTGAGTGTAGGGCTCAGTTTATATTGCTGGTGTTCATTATTATCTTTGTTGCCATGCTACATAAAAATATACAACATACATAAGGAAAGCATCTTTAAAACAAAACAAAACAAAACAAAACTGTCAGAATTCCAGGGGAAAATCAAATGTTGTATCGCAAGAAGTACCATTTACTATTTAGGACATTGCAGTTTTCTCTCTGAAATAGTAGTTTTTTAATTTTGGTAATTAAAAAATAAGTACTGATACTAGTCACAATAAAAGTAGTCTGAGTTCCTATGAATATGAGCTACTTATTTAAAATGAGCTATTTCTTCTTGCTGAAAAAATTAACGATTACAGACATCTCTCCTTTCCTTCTGAACCTCCCACGGTATTCGTGGGCACTAGCCAAATCCTCCTCATTCTACCACTTAAGGGGGAAGAAAGTCCCAAATTTGGCCCCTAAAAGCCATTATAGTACTCAGCTTTCAAAATTTATATATCCAAAAATTATGACTTTTCCCCTTCCCTTCCTTGCATGCCTTTGTAATCATTAATGGGAAAAAATATTTGAAAAATACGCAGAATTTTTAAGAACAGTAAAATGTAAATAGTAACATTATATAAATTAAGTGTACAAGTTAGTACAATTTCTATTTAGGGCAAAAAGTATATTTTTCAAATCCTATATTAGGATTTACTTACATTGTAAACTTTTAGTATTTTTGTAGTATTTTTCAAAGTGATAAATATGAAACATTATAATTAAAAACTAAGAAAACAGGCAAATGTAATGAACTAGGCACTTCCAAACATACCATCTAACATAAAATATATTTCTCCTATCTTCCCCCAACTTACATAGTGATATTTTCCAGCAGGCCTGAATCTGTTAAAAAATGCTCCTGGGTGGTGCAGTTGGTTGAGCATCCAACTCTTGGTTTCAGCTCAGGTCATGGTCTCAGGGTCATGGGATCGAGCCCTGCATCAGGCTCAGCATGGAATCTGCTTGGGATTCTTTTCCTCCCCCTCTGCCCCTTCCCCTGCTTGTGCTTGCTCTCTCTCTTAAATAAATAAAATCTTAAAAAAAAAAAAAAAAAAAGGAACTTACTGTTATTTCGTTAAAGCCATTGAGGGTAACCAAGAGGTTTTTATCATTCAGACTAATATTTGCCAATATTACAATAATAGAGATTTATCATAAAATGATTTTGAATTATTAATCTATACCTTGATAAACTAAGATTGATGTACTTGTGAAATATTTCATCTCTTCCCAAAATACATTTTGTTTAAACTATCTTGATTAAAGTGGTGTAACAAGGGGCCCCTGGGTGGCTCTGACTTCAGCTCAGGTCATGATCTCAGGATCCTGGGATCAAGCTCTGTGTCGGTCTCTGCACTTGGCAGGGAATCTGCTTGTCCCTCTCCCTTTCTGCCCCTCCCCCACTCATGCTCTCTCTGTCAAATACTCTCTGTCAAATAAAATCTTTAAAAAAAAATAAAATGACATAACAAACTATTCTTATTAATGAGTAAGACCACTGTTGTATAGACTAGGCATATACATTTTAGGTTTATTTTCATTTTTTTTTTTAAAGATTTTATTTTATTTGAGTGAGAGAGAGAGAGAGAGCCCAAGCAGGGGGAGGGGCAGAGAGAGAAGCAGACTCCCCGCTGAGCAGGGAGCCCAACTTGGGGCTCTATCCTGGGACTCCAGGATCATGACCTGGGCTGAAGGCAGACGCTTAGCCACCTGAGCCACCCAGGCACCCTGGTTTCTTTTCACCTGTAAGAACAAGAGAAAAAGGAACTTAGTAAACTCACTACCACTTGAAAGAGCTGTGAGAAAAACACAATTCTCTTTATTTCTACAATCAGGTGATGATTTGAGATTCACATAAAAAGGACTTATTATATTATAACAACATAATATTATATTATTTTATAGTCTTCATCAGAGAAACTATTTTAATTATTTAGATTGTGAGACATGACCTAAAAGAACTCCGAGATTTCGATCTGGGTGGAGCACCTTATGGGTATACTCCATTTTGTGATAGCCGCACTGAAATGGATGGATATCGTTTCTGGAAAAAAGGATACTGGGCATCACATCTTTTAAGAAGGAAATACCATATCAGGTAAGAAAATTTATATTCTTACTTTTTAGTAACTAAATAACTTACTGGATCACAATATTCAGTTTTCTTAGAAATCAGACAGTAATGGCAACCAGTTAGTGTTTATGGCATGACAGTCACTCTTACAAGACTTCACATGTATTAACTCATAAAATCCCTATGACAGCCTTCTGAGATACCGTTATCCGGATACCATTTAACAGATGTGGAAACCACAGCATGCAGCATTCATGTGACTTTCCCAGGCTTACACTGTTAGTGCATAGCTGAGCCGGCAGTTAAACCCAAGTAATAGGACTCAAGTGAGAGGCTCCTCACCACTACAGAATAAACTGGTTTGTTACATAGCACAATGAGCATACTGTCTTCAAAACTGTTGTTTTGTAGAGCCATGACTTTCATGGTATCTTGGAAAAACTTGAGGTGACTCTACGAGGGTATGGATCCTAACAGTATTATAACAAAGTTCAGACCCCTCGGAAACAGCGTGGACATGGGGAGAAAATTTATGAAAGGATTCATCATTATTAGACCCAGGGAGATCTAAAGTCAGTCCCATTACTGTGGACCGTCACTGGGGGAGAGTAAAAGTACGTGAACAACATGGGCCACCACAGACTCTTCACTTTTGCAGCGCCTTGTATGTGGTGGATCTCAAGAAGTTCAGGAGAATTGCAGCAGGAGACAGGCTCCGGGGCCAGTACCAAGCTCTCAGTCAAGATCCAAACAGCCTTTCAAACCTCGATCAGGTAGGTAGAATGTTCATAGACATGGATCCAGACTGCTCCAGTTCCCTTCCTGTAGACTTCAAAATCTGACATTTTCAGCCTCTTTCTCCCCTTGGTACAATTTTGTATTAGATATCTCATCTGTCTTGACTTACATACTATTTTTCACTTTCAGCTCAACATTTTCAAAACTAATCATATTTTACCTTCACTTTTCCATCCTTAGGCCTCTTCATCCCACCACATGCCCTGGCTCACTTACCGTACCTTTTTCTTACTCACTTCCATCATCAGTTAAATATGTCTCTGTCTCCGATCTTTTTTTTTTTTTTTTTTTTAAGATTTTATTTATTTATTTATTTGAGAGAGAGAAAGAGAAACAGCATGAGAGGGGATAGGGTAAGAGGGAGAAGCAGGCTCCCCGCCAAGCCGGGAGCCCGATGCGGGACTCGATTCCAGGACTCCAGGATCATGACCTGAGCCGAAGGCAGTCGCTTAACCAACTGAGCCACCCAGGCACCCTCTGTCTCCGATCTTTAAGACAAACTCCCTTCGTCCTGCGTCCCAAATGGCTACTGCCTTACATTTTGTTTTACCTAATAGATAAACACCTTTTTTCTCAATATCCAACTAATTTCTAGAGTTACTTAACCTAATGATATGACCCAGATCTCCCAGAATTATGGGGATAACAAACACAGCTTCCCCAAGAGGGTCACTGGGAGTGAGGATAAGCAGGATCACTTCTTTGCTCCCTGGACCCATGTCATTTTTCCATGTGGTAACACAGCACCATATAATGGTTGGTGATTTAGAATATAATGCTGCACCCCACTCTTGCAGGGTATTGTCTCCAAAAATCATTCTATTGCTTTGTCAGGCCAGCAGCTTCTGGGTGATGTAGTATGAGATGGGACCTTGGGATCTCTTGGTCATGTGCCCCCTGCCAGGCTTCCTTTCCTTGCTATCAAGTAGGTCTGTTGGTCTACTGCAATATTAAATGGAATCCTCTCTCAGTGGGATAGCTCTGTAAGCCCTTGGATAATGGTGCTAAGTCTCTGTGAGCAGGAAAGGCAAACCCATACACAGAACATCTGTATATTTCAATTCAGAAGAATCTATGTTTCCTAGTTAGTTAGAAAGAGTCTAATCTAGTCAGCAACTTAAAAGACACAACCTACCAAAATGCACTCAAAATGAAATAGTCTGAATAGTCCTATGTCAGTTGAGGAAACTGAGTTTAGTTTAAATCTCCATGCCCAGATACCTTCATTAGTGAATTCTACCAAACATTAAAGAAAAAATACCAATTCTACTCATTCTGCAAAGCTAACATTCCCTTGACTTCAAGACCATACAAAGACATTACAAGAAAGGAAAATTACAGACTGACATCCTACATGAACAGATGTAAAAATCCTTAATAAAAATCTCAGGAAACCAAATCCAGCAATATATAAAAGAGACCCTGTATCATAACTAAATGGACTTTATCCCTGGGTTCATTCCATTTTAGAATACCAGTCAGTGTAGGGCGCCTGGATGGCTCAGTTGGTTAAGCGACTGCCTTCGGCTCAGGTCATGATCCTGGAGTCCCGGGATCGAGTCCCACATCGGGCTCCCTGCTCGGCGGGGAGTCTGCTTCTCCCTCTGACCCTCCTCTCTCTCATTCTCTCTGTCTCAAATAAATAAATAAAAATCTTTAAAAAAAAAAAAAAAAGAATACCAGTCAGTGTAATTCACTATATCAACAAACCAAAAAATAGAAAAACCATATGATCAGCTTAATACAAAAGAGCATTTGATATATTCCAATATCCATTCCTAATAAAAACTCTCAGCAAACTAGGACAAGAAGGGAACTTCCTCAGCCTGATAAAGGACACCTATGAGGGGCACCTGGGTGACTTTGGTTGAACATCTAACTCTTGGTTTTGGCTCAGGTCATGATCTCGCGGACGTGGGATTAAGCCCCACATCAGGCTCCATGCTCAGTGCAGAGTCTGCTTCAGATTCTTTCTCCCTCTCCCTCTGCTTTTTCCCCCTATTGTGCTCACTGTTTCTCTCTCTCTCTCTCTCAAATAAATAAAATCTTTTAAAAAAAGACACCTATGAAAAACCTGTAGCTAACATACTTAATGGTGAAATACTGAATACTCTCCCCTTAAGATCAGGAACAAAGAAAAGATATCTACTCATCATTTCTATTTAGTCTGTAGTAGAGGTACTAGATAGTACAGCAAGGCAAGAAGAATAAAAGGCATTGGATTGGCAAGGAATAAGTAACTTTTTTTCAGACAGAATCATCTATGTAGACAATCCTCTATAATCTACTAAAAAGTTATATGGAGTCAATAATTATATTTAGTAATACTGCAGATATAAGATCAATATATGAAAATCAATTCTGTATTTCTATTTACTAGCAACAGTTGGAGATTGAAACTAAAAAGACAATATTATTTCTAATAGCATTTTTAAAATTACGTTCATATAGAAATGCAGTAGACCCGAAATAGCCAAAACAGCTTGAAGAAGAACAGAGTTTGAAGACTTATTTTGCCTGATTTCAAGACTTGCTATAAAGCTAATGTTTGGTGTAAAAATAGATAATTCTAATCCATAAATAGGAATAGAGATTCCAGAAATAACCCACACATGTCAACAGTTGACTTTTGACAGAGGTGTGAAGGCAGTGCAGTGGAGAAAGGACAGCCTTCTAAACAAATGGCGCTGGAAGAATTAGACATCCACGTCTAATTCAAGACAAACACTGCCATCCATAACACATGCCACGTGGAAAAACTAACTCAAAACACATCATAGATCTTAAAGACATAATGTAAAACTATAAAACTTTTAGAAGATAGGAGAAAATAAGTCTCTGTGGCCTTTGTTTATGCAGATGTTTTTAGACCCGTTAAAAGTGTGATTCACATAAGAAAATAATTGACAAATATATAAAAGACCTCTTAAAACTTATTAATAAGGGGTGCCTGTGTGGCTCAATCATTGGGCATCTGCCTTCAGCTCAGGTCATGATCCCAGGGTCCTGGGATCGAGCCCCGCATCGGGCTCCCTGCTAGGCGAGAAGCCTGCTTCTCCCTCTCCCACTCTCCCTGCTTGTGTTCCCTCTCTCGCTGTGTCTCTCTCTGTCGAATAAATAAATAAAATCTTAAAAAAAAAAAAAACTCATTAATAAGAAAACCATCTCATTTTAAAAAATCAGATTTTAACAGACCCTTCACCAAAGATGATGACCAAGTGGCAATAAGTCCATGGAGAGATGCTGAAGATCATTAGTCATTAGGGAAATGAGAATTAAAACTACAATGAACTGTTCCACACACTATTAGAATGGTTGATATTAAAAAGACTGACCACACTAAGTGTTGACAAGGATGCAGAGCGGCTAGAACTCACATACACTGCTGACAAGCAGGTAAAATGCTGTAGCCGTTTTGGAAAACAGTTGGCAGTTTCTTATGAATTTGAATTTACACCTACCCTATGACCAGTCATTCTACTTCAAGGGAAATAAAAGCATATGTCTATACAAAGACTTGTGCATGAATAGTTGTAAGCAGCTTTATTTGGAAAATCCAAATTCTGCAACAACCCTATATTCATTATCTATCACTCCCTAACGGCTTACCTGAAAACATAACCGCTTGCAATAACACAGTTTCGGTGGGCCAGGAATCTGGGCCTGACGTAGCTGGTGTTCTGCTCCACAGTCTCTCACGAGGCTGGAATCATTGTGGACCCAGGGATGGCCATCTCCTCCGAAGACTTGACTGGGCTCGGTCACGCACGTGCTTACAGGCAGCACGCCGAGCTCTTTTGCCACTTACGAGGCTCATCTGCCTTAGAAACTTTCTTTAACCCAGGTGCCAGCAGTCTTTGCTTAGAAAGCTCGGAGCATGAAGGGATGTGAGAATCCCTGGAACGTTGTTTCCTAACAGGGAAATGAAGGGTCACCGCCGAATCGGGAGGGCGTGGCGGTTTCTGACAGCATTGGCAAGGGCAGGCCCAGTGCGGGTGCCCAGCTGCGCTGCTTTGGGGCAGGCGGAGGCAGGGAGCCTGTCCATTTGGGGGCCTGTGGGGTGGTGGGTGTCTGGGCTTCCCGCTGCATCCTGACACCCAGGGTGACGTCCAGGACAGCTGTGGGTGTAGTTCTAGTGCATGGGTTCATCGTGACACAAGATGATTGGGTCATATTAAGGATTTAATAGCCTACAAATCGGTACCTTAGATCTGCGAATGTTTTTTTTGAACCTGTTTTTAATCTAATTGACCTTGTTCCCTCTAATTTCTGTACCTCCTTGTTTAAATCACTTGTTTCCATAGGATCTTCCCAATAATATGATTTACCAAGTCGCCATTAAGTCTCTTCCTCAAGACTGGTTGTGGTGTGAAACGTGGTGTGATGATGACTCCAAACAGAGAGCCAAAACCATTGATCTGGTGAGTGTGCGCGCTGTCCTCTGCATGCAGGCAGGTGTGAACGTGTTCCAGTAGAATCGTTTCTCTTTTATAGACAGAATGGCACCCCTGTGGCACCCGGCTGCTTCGTCTGTTAGTACCATTCTGTTTACTTAGGTCGGCCAAGTACAGGGCTGTGTCAGGGGCCTCCAGGACCACCCCCAGCTTTGAGGAATCATTAAGAGGACTCCCAGGACTCAGGATATCGTCCTGCTCATGGCTGTGCTTTATTCCAGGGGGTACAAATCCATGTCCACAGAGGGAAGAGGTGTATGGGGCAAAGTGCAGAGCGAGCCAGGTGCAAGCTTCCAGGAGCCCTCTCCCTGTGCAGTCACACAAGAGCAGCTTAACCCCGTAAGCTGTGGGGAATTCCACAACACTGGTGAGGTGCTGTGTCCCAGGGCAGCTGGTTAGGAACCCAGGGCCCAGGATTCCTACAGGGGGGCTGCTCGCACAAGCACTCCCCCTGCCTGTCGCATTGACCAGACACTTAATACGTAAAAACACTGAAAATTCCCAACAATCAAAAGGAAAGCAGGTTCAGCATAAACCACGGGGTTGGCAGGGTTTAGGCACTGTGAGCCAGTCTTACCAGGGATGGTGGGAACACTGCTGAAACCCAAGTGCCCAGACGCCAGCCAGGGGCCATCCTTGCAAGCAGGCCTTTCGAAGGATCCGATCTCGGGCTTGCCGCATTACTCTTTTCAGCACTTTTCAGGGGCTTCTGAAAGAAAGGCCAGGAGCTGCCTGAAGTGTTCATGGATTAACTGTTATCTTAATATATAACCAGTTTGGTTCTCCTGCCAATATTTTCCCCAAATGAAGACAACCGAAATAATTCTGTCTCTACTAAATTATCCTATATATGTCTGTTTTTCTTCCTTGTGAGAAATTTTTTTTTTCATTTTAATTTTAAGTAGATTAATTATGCTACACAGTGTAAGTCTCCTAAACGTGAAATAGTTCAAACTAATTTATTTTCCAGCTGTCTCAAAGTCACATTCCAATACTTTATTGTCTTTGGTAGTTACGAGATGTTGTCATTCTTTTTCTGACCATCTTGTTTTTTGTGCTAATTTAAGTTTTAAATAATTATTTACAAGATCTTCAGTAAAAAATAAGCTGTCAAAATATTAGCATTCATACAGTTTTGAACAAAATAAGACAGGACAATAAAATAGACATTTTTCTAGGTATGTATAGAAATGTATAGAAAAAAAAGTAGCATGCCAGTATGTTAGGTTTCAGTCAAAGGTGATAGAATGTAGCAGAAACAAGTAAGATGGCATTTGTAAGAAGAAAGCAAGGGAATGTTCTAAAGAGAGGTCAAGAACATAACGAAACTCCTAAGAGATTGTTAAAGTTGTGCTGGGACATAAAAGGTTGTGACTCATACATTAGGGATGCAAGATCTCCTTGGGATCTCTAATACTTATAATACTTAGAGATAGTTAGCATGAGCTAACTGTGACAAACCCCAAATTTCAGTGGTTTCTCACTCACCTGAATACAGATCTAAGTGAGTATTCTGTCAGTGAGTAGCTTCCCTGTCCATCATGACTCAGGGACCAGCCTCCATCTACCTGGGGGCTACTTCATCCTCTGAGGTCCTGTCATCATCTGTATCCATCTGGAGCTGATCTGTCCAGGATGGTGGCCACTTGCCACATGTGTCCATTCAGCACTTAAAATGTTGCTAGTCTGAACTGAGATGTGCTGTAAAGTATAAGATACCAGATTTTGAAGACTCGGTACAATAATAAGAAGGTAAAAATATCTCATATTACTAACTTTTATATTTATTACATATTGACTGATAATTTGGACATATTTGGTTAAATAAAATACAGTATTAAAATTTATTTCACCTGTTCTTTTTATATGTGGCTACTAGAAAATTTAAGATGACATATGTAGTTTCCACATATTTCTGTTGTGAAGTGTTGATCTGGAGGGGAGGTAAGAAGTGTGAGGAATGCTTCCTGACTCCTAAAAGCTGTGGCCCCTTGGGTGGGAATTGGTTGTGTGGCCACATCTAGATGTCAAAAGAGCTGAGAAATGGCATTCCCAGATGGGCTACTTCCTAGGGATGGGTCTACATAGAGAAAAGGTGGCATAAATTTTGGTGGACAGCTAGCAATCCCTCCACAGAAACACTTCAAAATGAGAGAACATGCTAATTTGGGCCAGCTTCTTGGAGAAAAAGTTAAGGGAGTGCAGAAAAATCCCAAGGAAATGGCCTAATGAAGAGGAGAAAGCATGATTAATGGTATTGAAGGTGAGAAGGAGAGCATTTATGAATGTCATGATACTGTCTCAGCTCCATTTCAATAATCAGGTTTCTCAACCTGGGCATTATTTACATTTAGGACCGTATAATCCGTAATTGTGGGGACCGTCCTGCGCTTTGTAGCATGTTTAGCAGCATCCCTGGCCTTACCCACTAGATGGCAGTATCACCCCACCCCACCCCACCCTGAGCCGTGACACCCAAAATGTGTCCAGACCTTGTCAGAGCTCCCTTGAGGGGCATAATAGCCCTGTTTAAGTACCACTGATAGAGATTAGAGGGGGAAAAAATTATAGCACAAAAAAATAAGGAAAACATAGTATTTTTAACAGTTTCTGACACAAAATGAAAGAAAATGTTTCCATTATCTTCACTTTATAGAACATATTGTCTGTAAGGTTAATTTCTGCAAAGAAAATCCTCTTTTCCCACTTACTTCAGGAATATATTACTATCGAAAAAGTCCATAATGGAATGAACTGAAAATATTTGGTGAGGAAAGGATCAAGACAGCAGGCTCATGGCTTATAACCAATAGCTTTCCCACAAGGAATTAAGGAGAAAGCAAGCTGTGGCAACTATAAGAAAATGTCACAGAGCGTGAGCTTCAAGATGCATCCTCTGTGAATGCCTTGTAGAGAGCAAGGCGAGGCTTGTGGAGCTTGGGGACGTTTGTGCTCCTTGCACTGTCCTTCATGTCTCAGCCAGTGGCATCTCCATTCTTCACATGGCTTCAGCCAGACACTCTGGGGGCACCTGTGACCTCTCTCCTCACAACTCCCATGCAGCCCATTAGCAGACCTTTGTCAGCTGTACTATCCCCTACATCCAGAATCAGATCCTTCTCCTATGATACGTTTTGCCTTTTAACCCTTAATTTCCCAAGGAACTCCACAGTAGGACCAATTGCTCATTGAGTAGTTTAAATGGATCCCGTGTCACTGGAACCCTGGAGATTATCTCCCTCCTCTATGATGAAGCACTAGACCCCCCCCCACACACACACACATAACACATATAACACACATGGACACACATATAGGTGAATGTATGGATCGCACTACTAGAAAGAGTGGAGTTGGAACCATGACTGAGGATCTGAATCCACTGGTTTCCCACTGTGTCTGTCAGATAGACTAGTTAATATTTTTAGACATGAGATTGATAAACTACTCTGAATTTCACATCTATCAATATTTTGACAAATGAGTTCCAGTTAACTGATTTTTTTTCCAGTTAACTGATTTTTAATAGCATCACAGTTGCTAATTAGAACAGAGGCATAAGAAGGGGAATGAATGTTTTTGCTAAAGAAACTCAAGGAGTTTCTAAAGGCTAACAAATACTTTTGTCTGTGGAAAACATAAAGCATATAAACCAGACTTTAGTCCAAAGAAAAGATAAGAAAATATTTATTGGGTGCCTGGGTGGCTCAGTTGGTTAAGCAACTGCCTTTGGCTCAGGTCATGATCCTGGAGTCCCAGGATCGAGTCCCACATCAGGCTCCCTGCTCAGCAGGGAGTCTGCTTCTCCCTCTGACCCTCCAGCCTCTCCTGCTCTCTCTCTATCATTCTCTCTCTCTCTCAATAAATAAATAAAAATCTTTAAAAAAAAATATTTATTAATGTAGTCTCCTATGTTCTTTTACAAATGGTCATGTAATTAGATCTTTTGTCAAAACAGTTTGCAGAATTGTTTGACAAACTCCTTTTTAAGCATCAGAATGTTTTTAATTAATTTTTGTTTAAATTTCTGATTGAGGTGTTTGCATTAAACACTTTTTGCTTACATAATGATTTGTCATTTCACTTGATCCTTTCCCTATTAAACTAATTGTAGTACTTTAAATATTTAGTATTTAGGACTCAGCTTTTTACAAAATGTGTTTTGTTTGCTCTAGTGACATAGTAATGTCCTCAAGCATTTCCTTTATGTTTTCTGAACAATGGTCAGTCAGTCCTTCCTTCCCTCTTCCCTCCCTGCCTCCCTCCCTTCCTTCTTTCCTTAACTGAAGTATAATTAACATACAAGGATAATAGTTTTTCATTAACAAAACTTTATTTAAACTTTCAGTGCAATAATCCCAAAACAAAAGAACCCAAGCTAAAAGCTGCTGCGAGGATTGTCCCAGAATGGGTGGAGTATGACACTGAGATACGACAACTGTTAGATCATCTTGAGAACAAGAAGAAAAATGCAAGTAAGTCATCATTCTGGGGTGGTGTTGCATTAACTGAGATTATAATAGACTACAAACTCATTTCTTGGCGAATTTATTAAATGTAAATTAGATCAGAATTTCTTTAAGAAATTTGTGACATTATTAAGGATTTCCTTTTTGTATGGACTAAGCTCACAAATTAAAAACGGATAGAGGGGCGCCTGGGTGGCTCAGTCGTTAAGCGTCTGCCTTCGGCTCAGGTCATGATCCCAGGGTCCTGGGATCGAGTCCCACATCGGGCTCCTTGCTCGGCAGGAAGCCTGCTTCTCCCTCTCCCACTCCCCCTGCTTGTTTGTGTTCCTGCTCTCGCTATCTCTCTCTCTCTGTCAAATAAATAAATAAATAAACCGTTAAAAAAAAAAAAAAAAAAAACATGGATAGAGAATCTCTTCCCCCATGGATAGAACTTCAGTTCATGTCACCACAGATCCGGGTGCTGTGGCATTAGCCTCCTGACACAGTGTAAAAAAAGAAAAAAATGTTTGTCTTTAAGATTATATCAAATTTCCCAAAAGGTAAAAATCCAAGCCCTGAGATTTAGTAAAAGACTTACATAGTAACTAGAAATATTACCTCCTATCTCCTAAACGAATCTCCTACAGCATAGGGATTTCCCATGTGTTCCTGATTCTCGCAGCCTTAGGGCTGGAGCGTGACTCAGTTTCGATGTGCTTCCATTTCCAAGATTAAACTGTGGTTACCTGAGCATTTCATCACTCAGCATAAACCTTCAACAAATAAGCGTTGAATATGCCTTTAAAGCTGATATAAACTTCTTGATTGCCTCGTAATTCTTTCCTCATCAGTGCCTAGTTCTCTGTTTTTCTTTACTCTTTTTTAAAAATAGCACTGAGCTCTAGTCCGTGTTAGAGACTTTCACAGGTTATATTAATCCTTAACAATAATTCTTTCCAGTGGTTCAGAATAAAATTCTTAATTTCCTCAGCTTTATTTTTTCAAGAAGTTCAAATGTTAAATATAAACATAAAAATGTTATTTCTCACATAAGCATGAAATTGTGTTTTATCTTGACTTTCTGTATTCCTTAACAAAACTAGTGTGGTTATTTTCTGAGAAGTTCAGTATTTAAAACACTCACGGGGGCACCTGGGTGGCTCAGTCCTTAAGCATCTGCGTTCAGCTCAGGTCATGATCCCAGGGTCCTGGGATCTAGCCCCGCATCGGGCTCTCTGCTTGGCAGAAAGCCTGCTTCTCCCTCTGCTGCTCCCCCTGCTTGTGTTCCCTCTCTCGCTGTCTCTCTGTGTCAAAAAAGAAATAAAATCTTTTTTAAAAAATAAAACACACTCATGTATTTTTAATTAATAAATAATTAAGACACCATTTCAGTGCAGAAGAAGATTCTGTAAGTGGTGTGATATAACTGTTTTGAAGGGAAAGAGATAAGACAGAGAAGGGGGAGAAAAGGAAGAAAGTAAAAGGAAGAGAAAAATGAAATTTTACATAATTACCTCAAAAATTTTTAATGCACAGAACATGAGATGAAATGTTTCTCTTATCATATTGGAAAGAGTTAAAAGGATTAATAATATCCAGTTTTAGCAAGCGTATTGACAAGTGAGCACTCTCATGTACTCATACATACAGTAGCTGTATAAATTAAGGAAATATTACGGTATGTATAAAAATTTAAAATATGTGTGCCCTTTGACCCAGCAATTCACTTTAACAAATTTACATTTAAAAAAGAGAAATGATGGGGTGCCTGGGTGGCTCAGCCGGTTAGGCCGACTCTTAGTTTCAGCACAGGTCATGATCTCAGGGCCGCAGGATCAAACCCCACATAGGGCTCATGCTCAGTGAGGAGTCTGCTTGAGATTCTCTCTCCTCCTCTCCCTTTGCCCCTCCCCCCACACACAGACACACACTCTCTCACTCTCATTCAAATAAATCTTTAAAAAAAGAAAAAAGAAAAAGATAGATGTATACGTATGATTGTTACCATTGTTTTTAATGAGATAGAAATAATTTATCCAGTGGAGCACCTGGGTGGCTCAGTTGGTTAAACATCCAACTCTTGATCTACTCAGCTCAGGTCTTGATCTCAGGGTCATGAGTTCAAGCCCTGCAAGAAATAAGAAATAATTTATCCATAAATAGACTATTGATTATATAAACATCATTACATACAAACAATGAAATATAGCATAGCCTTTCAAGAGAATTGAGATAAATGTGTTTTGCTGACAGCATATTTTAAGTTAAAAATATAGAATAATATTTGTAATATGATTGACCCCATCATAAAGAAAAATGGTGTGTTTGTATGTGTTTACATATGTATTTGTATAAAAATAAGAGATTAAAAAATAAGCTTTATGAAAGATTATTGAATTTTTTACTTAATTTTGAATTATAAATGTAAGATATGTTATAAATATTAAAACAACATGGAAGTATATAGGATAAAGTTGGAAGACGTCTTTTACTCAAACACGAAGAGGCAATCATTTTTAAGGCTATGGTATATATTTTATAACTTTTGCATTTCTCTTACTGCAAGCTGTATTAGTTTTCTGGGGTTGCTCTAACACAGTACCGCAGTCTAGGTGGCTTAAACAAAAGAAATTATTTGTCTCACGGTTCTGGTAACTTGAAGTCCAAGATCCGGGTGTCATTAGGGTTGGTTCCTTTTGAGGGCAGTGAGGGAGGACCTGTCCCAGGCCTTCTTCTTGACTTGTAGGTGGCCATTTTCTCTCTGGCTCCCTTTACCTTGTCTTCTCTCTCTGTATGTCTGTGTGCAGATTTCTTCATTCAACAAGGACACCAGTCATGTTGGATTAGGGTGTACCCTAATGGCGTCATTTTAACTTCATTCCCTCTGTAAAGACTCTATTTCCAAATAAGGTCACATTCTGAAGTCCTGCAAGTTAGGATTCCACCATATGAATTTTGGAGGGAAACAGTTCAACCCATAACATGAATGGAGTTGAGGCTATTGTCATATGTTTAAGGGCCATTTGTAATTTCTTCTGTTTTCCACCTGTTTATTCTTTTCCTTTGCTCATTTTTTTCTAGAGGATTGTTGTCCAACACTGGAAAAAAATTAATGATCTTTATTCCAGAGATTTGTGTTGCCACCTTTATTGTATACTAAATTCCTGTATTATTTATGTCTCATTTGGCACATTTTTTATCCTGTTCCATTGATCTCTGTCTATACATGTGCCTATTTCACACTCCTTTTTGAAAATTTAGAGCATGTTTTAATACTGAGTAGGGCTTCTCTCCCCTCATTGCTACTTTGTTGTTGTTGTTTTCCCGGTACTCCTGTTCATTTTTCCATATAAGCTTTAGAATCATCTTATCTAGGTCAACATTTTTCAGGATTTTTTGGGGGGGTGAGGGTGCTGGAGGGAAGATTACATTAAATTTATTAATTAGGTTAGGGAGTATTGACATCTTCATGAAAACTGTTCTTCCCATTTAAGCATGTGTTGTATCTTTATGTTCAGGTTCAGTTTTATGTTTGTCAAGAATCATAACATTTTAATCATCTAAGCTTTATACGTATCTTTTTAAGTTTGTTCCTAGGTATTTCATCTTTTTGTTACTATTTATGAATGGCATTTTCTCTTACAATGTATCTTCTTAATGGTGGTTACTTGTACATAGAAAGACTATTTTCTGCATATGAATTTTTATTTCTGTGATCATACTGAATTCTCATTTATAGTAATATTTAAGTTGATTCTCTTGATTTTTTTCCTCCCAAGATTATCTGCAAACAAAAATGGTTTTTCCTCGTCCTTTCTAATCGTTATACCTCACATTGCTTTTTCTCATCTAATCGCTTTGGCTAATATTTCTTTTTTTTAAGATTTTATTTATTTATTTGAAAGAGAGAAAGAACACATGAGAGGAGATAGGGTCAGAGGGCGAAGCAGACTCCCTGCCGAGCAGGGAGCCCTATGCGGGACTCGATCCAGGGACTCCAGAATCATGACCTGAGCCGAAGGCAATCACTTAACCAACTGAGCCACCCACGTGCCCCTTGGCTAACATTTCTAATATGGTGTTAAATAACAGTAGTGCACTAGGCCTCTTTCTCACTTTGCCTGGCCAACTTTCTGTGTTTTCCTATTAAGTAAGATAATAGCTTTGGACTACAAAAATTTATCATGTTGAGGAAATAGCTATTGATTCCTATTTTAGTAAATGTTTTTATCAGTAATATAATAAATTGTATTTAGCACAGTATATAAACTAACTAGAATTTGAAAAGAATAAAAAGAATGGGTTGCAATTGATTGACTGCCTCTTCAGCAGAAATAGAGGTGACTATCTGGTTTTTATATTTGATTTATTAATATAGCAAACTATATTAATATATTTCCTAATACTGAATCATCCCTGTGTTCCAGAATTAAACTCAGCTTGGTCATGACCTACTATTCTTTATTTTTCCTTTTTTTAAGTTGAGATATAATTGACAGATACAACATTATATTAGTTTCAGGTGTATAACATGATTTATTATTGGTATGTATTGAGAAATGATCAAAATAAGTCTCATATTCATTACCATACACAGTTATAAATTTTTTCTTGTGATGAGAACTTTAAAAGTCTCTCTTAGCAACTTCCAAATATATAATACAGTATTGTTAAATACAGTCACCACGCTGTTCATTATATCCCTATGACATTTATTTTATAACTAGAAGTTTGTACCTTTTGACCCCCTCACCTATTTTGCCCATCCCCCACACCCCTGACAACCACTAACCTGTTCTCTGTATCTGTGAGCTCAGTGTTGTTTTATTTCAGATTCCACATATAAGCAAGATCATAGAGTATTTGTCTTTCTTTCTGACTTCATTCACTTAGTATAATGTCTTCAAGATCCATTCATGCTTTTGCAAATGGCAGGATTTCCTTCTTTTTATGGCCAAATAATATTTCACTTTATACACACACACACACACACACCTCACACTTTCCTTATCCATTCATTCATCCATCAATGGACACTTAGGTTGTTTCCATGTCTTGGGTATTGTAAATAGTGCTGCAATGAACGTGAGGACATAGATACATTTCAAGTTACTGTTTTTGTTTCCTTTGGATAAATACCCAGAAGTAAAATTCTGGATTATATGGTAGTTCTTTTTGTTATTTTTTGAGGAACTACCATATGTTTCCCGTAGTGGCTGCACCAATTTACATTTCCCTCAGCAGTGCACAAGGGTTCTCTTCTTTCCACATCCTTGCTAACACTTGTTGTTTGTCTTTTTGATAATAGCCATTCTAACAGGTACAAGATGGTATCTTATTGTGGTTTTGATTTTCATTTCCCTGATGATTAGTGATGTTGACCTGTTGGCCATTTATATATCATCTTTGGAAAAATGTCTCTTCAGAGCCTCTGTCCATTTTCTTAATTGGATTGATTGGTTTTTTGCTATTGAGTTGTATGAGTTCTTTATATAGTTTGGATATTAACCCCTTATCAGATATATGATTTGCAATTTTTTCCTATGCCATAGGTTGCCTTTTCATTTTGTTGATGGTTTCTTTGCTATGCAGAAGCTTTTTAGTTTCATGTAGTCCTACTTGTTTACTTTTGCTTGCTTTTGTTGCCTTTGCTTTTGGTGGCAAATTCAAAGAATATTGCCAACACTGATCTCAGGATGCTTCCTGTCTATGTTTTGTCCTGGAGTTTTATGGTTTCACACCTTAGTGTTTGATCCATTTTGAGTTACTCTTTGTGTATGGTGTAAGAAAGGGGCAAAGTTTCATTCTTTTGCATGTGGCTGTCCAGTTTTCCCAATACCATTTATTGAAGAGACTGTACTTTCCCCATTGCATATTCTTGGCTCCTTTGTTATAAATTAATTGACCATATTTGTCTGACTTTATTTTTGGCCCTCCATTCTATTCCAGTGAACTGTAGGTCTGTTTTTATGCCAGAGTCAAACTGTTTTGATTACTATAGCTTTGTGGTGTAGTTTTAAATCGGAGAGCCGGATGCCTCCAGCTTCGTTCTTTCTCAAGATTGCTTTGGCTATTTGGGGTCTTTTGTGGTTCTTTATAAGTTTTAAGATTGTTTGTTTTATTTCTGTGAAAAATGGTGTTGGAATTTTGATACGGGTTGCACTGATCCTGTAGATTGCTTAGGATAGTAGGGACATTTTAATAGTAATGATTCTTCCAGTCCATAATCATGGAATATCTTTCCATTTATTTGTGTCTTTATCAGCAACTCATAGTTTTCAATGTACAGGGCTTTCACCTCCTTGGTTAAATTTATTCCTAGGTATTGTATTCTTTTTGATGCAATTGTAAATAGATTACTTTCTTAATTTTTCTTTCTTATAGTTTGGTACTACTGTAAAAAAACACAACAGATTTCTGTATATTGATTTTGTGTCCTGCCACTTTACTGAATTCATTTATTAGTTTTAACCGTTTTTTGGTGGAATCTTTAGGGTTTCCTATATATAATATCACGTCATCTGCAAATAGCGACAGTTTACTTCTTTTCAACTTGGATGCCTTTCTTTCTTCCCTAATTGCTATGGCTAGTACTTCCAATACTATGTTGAATAAAAGTGGCGTGGGTAGGCATTCTTATCTTGTTCATGATCTGAGGGGAAAAACTTTTAGCTTTTTGCCATTGAGTATGATGTTATCTGTGGACTTGTCATATATGGCCTTTATTATGTTGAGGTAGAGTCCCCTCTATATCCACTTAGTTGAGAGTTTTTATCATAAATGGATGTTGAGTTTTTTCAAATGCTTCTTCTGCATCCATTGAGATGATCATATTTGTATCCTTCGTTTTGTCGATGTGGTGTGTCGTGTTGGTTGATTTGTGGATGTGGAACCCATCCTTGCATCTCTAGGAAAAAGCCCACTTGATTACGGTGTGTGATCCTTTTAATGTATTGTTAAATCTGGTTTGCTAATACTTTGTTGAGGATTTTTCCATCTTTGTTTATCAGGAATATTGGTCCGTAATTTTCTTTTCTTGTAGTGTCCTTTTCTGGTTTGGGGATCAAGTTAATGCTGGCCTTATAAAATGAGTTCAGATGTGTTCCTTCCTTGTCTATTGTTTGGAAAAGTTTAAGAAGGATTGGTATTAATTATTCCTTAAATGTTTGGTAGAATTCACCAGTGAAGCCATCTGGTCCTGGACTTTTGTTTCTCAGGAGGTTTTGATTACTCATTCAGTCTCCTTACTAGTAATTGGTTTGTTTAGGTATTCTGTTTCTTCATGAATCAGTATATTCATGGTAAGTTGTATGTTTTTAGGAATTTATTCATTTCTTCTAGGTTGTCCCAGTTCCTTGGTGTATGATTGTTCATAGTAGTCTTTTACAGTTCTTTGTATTTCTGTAGTTATATTTTCTTTTTATATTTCCTAATTTTCCCCTCTGTTCAGGGGATTTTTTTTTTTTTTTTTTACTTCTATTGATTTTTTTTGAAGGGGGCAATCCCATCTTAATTTTTGCAGATCTTTTTCTCTGCTGCCTTTGAATTTCAGTATCTTCTTGTTTTATGATTTCATCGAATTTCATTTTCAGAATAATCTGGAAAATATTAGAATTATCTTAAGTACCTCTTTGGTTCTCTTTGTTACCTTTATTTCTTTTGGGTATGTTGATTGTTCATCTTGGTCCTTTTTTCTTTTGCTATTGGTCTTCCTCAGATGCCTGGAGATCCTTGGCTATTTTTATATTTTTAAGAGTAAAAGATTAGATTGATCAATACAGAGAGCTGGCAAGCGTTTCCTCTGTGTAAAAATGTCTGTTTTTCCAATAGGCTTCTTCCCTGAGTGGGAGGGTTAATCAATAGCTCTAGGTGCATTAGCATGTGCAGAACTGACAGACTTCTCTGGATGTACGGGCACGGAACAGATAAAGGCCATGCTACACACCAGCCTGGCCAAAAGCCAAAATGAGGGCATTTTATTCAATAGCACTGACACTCATATGAAAATCAATCTCTGTCTCTCAGTAGATTGTTCAGTTTTGTTTTTTGTTTTTGGGGTTTTTTTTGTTTTCAAAAATCATCTTCTACTTTTTGTCTTGGAATAAACAGCCGGACCAGTTCTCTGTGAAACGTAGGGACAGAATGAGAGTGGGAAGCTGAGAGGCACAGATTTTCCTGACAGTGTTTCAGTTACTGCTTCACCTTCTCACTCACGCCCCACCAGTGTTTGCTGTTACGAGATCCTCCTCTGTCGGGAAAATCAGCTCCTCTTCCCAGCCATATGCTCGTGTATCAGCTACGTGTTCTGTCTTCAATTTTTAGAAATTCATTCATAACTCTGCTCCAACGATGTTTCATAACCACTTCCCCCATTCTCATTGTTACTCCCTTTTATATTTCTTTATTATCTCTCAAGTGGAATTTAGTGAAGAGAGAAACATAGTCTAACATCTCGAATTATGGAAGAGGATGCGTTTAAATCGTACTTTAATACATTTCTGCTTGAAAATGTCATTTTAAATATGTTAGTTTTTGGTTTTTTTTTTTAAGATTTTTTTTATTTGAGAGAGAGAGAATGAGAGATAGC